CAGGTGAGGCATCAACATTAACACACCTGAGCTCCAGGGAGGAGGACCGACCCTCAGCCATGGCCGAGTCCCAGCTTACGTGCATGGAGGACGGCCACATCGGAGCCAATGTCCCGGAGAACAAACCGGAGTTTTACTACAGCGAAGCGCAACGATCCGCCATAGAGGAGCTGCTGAGGAATGGTGACGGAGCCTTCAAAATGCGACTCAACGAGGACAAAATCACCGATTTCCTGTCCGCGAGGGAGGTGAAGCTGCTGGTAAACACCTTCAAAAAGTACGATTTGAATCCGGAGGAAAGTAGCAGTACTCCGGATCCGACAGACCATGATTCAGGGCTCCAATCCACTTATTGGCCCCAGATGTCGGACACGGATGTTCCGCCGCTGGATATCGGCTGGCCCAGCGGGGGGTTCTTCAAGGGAGTGACGCGCGTGGCAGTGCACACTCACCCGCCTAAAGAGAATGGACCTCACATCAAGATGGTCGTGAGGAAGATGATCCAGGAGGCCAGCAAGGTGAGGGGGACAGGAGCATATCGATATATTAATAATGATTCAGAATCAGGTTTATCACCAGGTGGGTTGACAATTATGAGGAATGTGACTTGATGTCGTGGTGCATACATGATAGTAAAACAACAATTAAAAACACCGACAGAGAACTATTTTAAGATATTAATAATAATAATAATAACAACAATAATAATAGTTTCAGTGCTACCCCTTTTGTCCACTTTAATTCCTGATATACTTCACATATTCAATTTTTCATAGTATTTTGTCATTTTCTAGTACTTTTGGTACCTTTTTATTTATATATATTTTTGTCATATTTTTTATTATAGTTCTATATTTATACACACAGGGCCGCCCCTGGCCAACTTGTGGCCCCACGCAAAGTTATATGATGAGGCCCTCTGTGTCGCGAGCGTCGATGGGGGTGGGGCTGCAGCGTCCTTTTGCTGGAGGACTGCTGTCAGATAAAGACACTTTTCTGATGTAGAGAGGAGAGGGTCATCTGATTATAGTAAAAACATGTTCAGTGATGTGTGGCTGGACTCCATTATTGGCATTGGACTGAAAAGATCAGTCATGAGAATGAGACCTCTCTTATAGATTAAAATCATCAATTCCAGGGATGTTTTTAAATCACTACTGCTAGATTAGAGTAGTTATCGACCGCTCACAGAACATGGTCGATTAGTCAATTAAATGACGGACATATATGTCCATCTGTGGCTGTAGGTGCGCTGCATTTGCACTTCAGATGATGCTCCCTCCGCAAAATGAAGAACCCTCCGCAAGTTAAGGCCCCCTCCGAGGTGAGGCCCCCTCCGAGGTGAGGCCCCCTCCGAGGTGAGGCCCCCTCCGAGGTGATCGGCCTGTAGATCAATATAGTCATGTACGAAAGTGTCTCTAGGACTCCTTTTCATTCATAATAATGATCCTTTATATAAAGTATGACAAGTCAAATGGATATTACAGTAAACGTTTGACTTGTTTTTGGTCTTAAAGGGTTTTTCAAAGTCTTACATTAACTTGTTGAGACCCTGTTCTTTAAGGATTTAAGGGTTTTCAGTCACAGTCGATTAAAGGCGGAGAGGACGAGTGTTAGCGTGAATAATTCCTCCTCACACAGAAACAAAGACTCTGAAGAGGCTCTTTGTGTTTGACTCTCCGTCGTAATGTTTAGTCATGGAGCGCCAGAGCTCTGCTGAGTCATCTTTTCCTCACAGCAACACTGACGACTCTTTAAAAACACGTCAAAACAGATGCACGCTTGTGTCAAACACTTCTCAGGAAATTCCCTTGGATTTTTCTTTAGAGATTCCCTCCCTGCAAACACTTTCTGTTTTCTATTTATAAACTTATTTTGTTTCCTCGTGTTCTCTCTCTGTCCTTCTCGTGCATTGGAAGGGCCTGAAGCAAAATGAAACATAACAAGCTGTACGCACATCTGTCAGTAGTGTACACATCTTTTATTACTTTTCCATGTTGGTCATACTGCAGGAATGTGGTAGATATATATATATATATTTTTGTGTTAATTATTGAGAGTTCTTGTATTTTAATGTAAGTTTTTTATACCTTGGGACTGTGGGAAACAGTATTTCGATCTTTCTGTGTGTACAAACATATTTTGAGATTGACAATAAAGTTGACTTTGACTTTTTTGACCTTTGACCTTGACCATTAGTACACTTCCTTTTGTAAACATTGATAATAAACCAGGGATAAGAACTGGCAGCCCACTTTATTATGCTTCTGTTCAGGTTGTATCTGTATTTTGTGCCTCAATAGCAAAGGTCTCAAACTCAAGGCCCGGGGGCCAAATCCGGCCCGCGACTTCATTTTATGTGGCCCGGCAAGAGCTTGCAAATAATATAATATGTTTATTATACGGTTACATGCCACTTTACAGAAGCAGGTTCCCCATAAACTACATGTCCCACAATGCATCTCGTTTTGTGACATGCGCACTGAAGAGACTTGCAATTATTTGCCCTGGACTTCTGCTTTCAGACGTAGTTAATTACTAAGTTATTATCCTATCCGATAATAATCCAATTCAGAGGCAATAATGTAATATAATACATTATTTTATATATATATTATATATGTATATAGTTACAACCGGCCCTTTGAGTGCAACCTTTATGCGAATGTGGCCCGCGATGAAATTTAGTTTGACACCCCTGCTCTATAGGGACATGTTTCAATGTTCAAAAAGTGCCTTGTTATTGGTCAACCACTTAGAGAGGTCCCGCCCCTTAGCCTATCAGGTACAATGTGTTGGAGCGCTAGCCAATAGAAGTGCAAGTGTCCCATAGTGATGTCACTATGTTCCAGAAGTAAACAAAGGAGTCCAATGGAGGCGCTTCAGACCGGGTGGGGGGGGAAACTAGCCTTTGCAGACCATTTACATGCACTTAAAACCTATACTACATTACATTATATTTGCGTGATGTTTTTATCCACAATGACTTACAATAAGTGCAAAAAAACATAACGTTTCAAACTCTGAAACAACAAGGAAAGTGCAGATATATTCACTTCAAGCTACATCATACCATTGTAATTGCTGCTGAATGAGTTACAAGGCCTACATAATAATAATAATAATAATAATACACAATCTAACACACTATAGGAAAGGCAAAAACCCCACAAGGCCTAAAAAGGGCCTCTTTAACTCCATATCATACCCCATTTGTAAATGTGTCAGGGTGTTTCCAAGGTTGTCAGACAAAGTCAAAGTGAAATAGAAATGCACCTGTGGAATGCAACACACCTGGTTTAATCTTATCCGAAAGACCAGGAGATTTCTCAGAACAGAAACAAATACTGAAAACAGCACACCCAGTTCAGCTGGAACAAACCTAATCAACTGTACATCTTCATTCTTAAAAAATGTTCAAGTCAAAACACGTCTCAGGTTCCTCCTCTCTGTGGAAACTACAGGACAGAGCAACACTTGATTTTAAGAGACATTATTTCCATGACTTTGCTTCCCAGAGAACAGTGGAGTAACCCTCCCGCATCTGATCTGAACATGTCCCTACATGTTTGAAAGAACATTCTCCATTTTTCTCTCGTAATTGTTGTATCCCAAACATCATATAAAGTGTATTATATGAATATAACATGCATCAGCCACGTCCTATCTTCCAACACTCTCACATCATTCAAAAAAGCCCTCAAAACTAATCTTGCCTTCAACTCCTAATCCACTAACCCCTCGCCCTTAGTCCACCTAGCTTAGCACTTGTGTTGTTATTGTTCTCTGCTTGTAAAGCGCTTTGAGCACCAGGAGAAGTGCTTTATAAATAACATGTATTATTATTATTATCTTCTGTCTAAAAGATTCCACTTTTAGACATCTATCTGCCTGTTAAACACTTTAGTTTACATGCACGAACCCTATGATTTTGCACAAGTACTGCAATAAGGCCAACACAAATATATTGCTTTCTGTGGTGTCCCATCTCCTGTAGTGTGTTCTATAGGTTTTAGTGCATGTAAATGGTCTGCTAAGGCTAAAATCCCTGTGTTCTTTATGAATATATTATTTAAAATAATTTAATTTGACTAAAAATGATCCAAAAAAACGTGTTTCCTGACTGATGCAATACAAAGATACTTGTTTCTTTAAATAAAATACGAGGTAAAAAGTGATTCCAGTATGTTTTAATGCATTTTAAGAATTTACAAGAATGCTTTTGAATGATTAACTAGATGTTACGCAATTATTCTCACCAGGATATTCTCATTAATTCAACATAAAATGTTCATATCGTCCCACACTGTTATCCAAGGCTCATTTTTTAAATCATGATGCCTCTTCTCTTTGGTTTGGACCTCATTTAACCACTAAGGATTATAATAATAACATGTTATTAGATTAGTTTGTCATTTACTCCAACACTCTTATATTGTTGGATGTAATACACATGTCAGCCTCTTGGGGGCGTTCCCGGGGGCTTAGACTGTAGCAGTGTTAATTTCGTCAACGAAAACTATGACGAAAAATGTTCGTCAACGACCTTTTTTACATGACTAAGACGAGACGATGACGAGCTAAAAATAGATTCTTGATAACGAAAATTTGACGAAATGTATATTTAGTTTTCGTTGACGAGACGAGACGGGACTAAGGTGTTAATGGTGGACTATCGGACATTCAAAATGCAGGGTATTTCCCCCCAAGTGTCCGTCTTGTCTGTCAAAATGCATCTTACGTTTCTAACTTGCAATATCATTATTTCCGCTCTCTTCACTCCAGAAGAGCGATCTCCCTCTCTCTGTGTGTGCGGGGGGCGGGGCCTAACAGACACGCTGCAGCGGCACACAGAGATCTGCCGGGGACGGAGCGTTCAGAAGTATAGAGGCACTCTACAAGACTCGATAGCCGCGTTCACACCAAGTACTTTCCTGTACTTAGTTCCGGCACTAAGAGCCCTGGCGCTTTTAACCCCAGGGTACTTAGTACAGATCGCGTTCACACCGGAGTACTTTTCCCTGAGGGAAGATTACAAGTACAGTAGGTGGCGGTAAGCACCTTAAAGTTGTTTGCAACCCGCTACAAAACAAGAGAAGAAGAAAAACTGATACAGGATCTGTTTAATCGCCATGTCGGTTTTCTTTATTGCACTCTCAAGACATAACATTAAATAGAAATATTTTAAATGTAACTAAAGTGTCAGTTGTACATGTCAGTAAACATTGTCAATATAAAATAAAGTGTCAGTTGTACTATATAATAACAGTAATAACAATATAAAATAAACTCCCAGCTGTAGGGAGTCTCAGCAGCAAACCCACCTTTATTATATATCTTCCTGAGACCCACTGCATCCGTCTGCCATAAACACTATGCAAACATACATGTTAGTTTTGGCCCATAGTGGACTCCATGTTGTGTTGTGTGAAATGGGGGGGAATTAAAAGTTTAGGTCAAATAATATTTAAAATGATATAAATTGTCATATTTGTGTATGTGCCCCTGCCATTCCCCC